AAATATCAGTTCCAAGTTGGCAGCAGCAGCCACTGATCTCTGTGCATTAATTTGAGCTACGTTTAGGCCCATTCTACTTTATTATGGTATATTTCCAAGTTTCTTAAATACTCTGGACACTCTTTGCTCCTAACTGAGTGACAAACTTCCTTTCTTCTCAATTTAGAACAATTAACACACCGCGGCGTATCCTTCATACTACACTCACTTTTTAGGTGATCCGTAGCGGCTGAGATGACAGATAGTCGGTAAGGAAGGAACCGGGGTATGAATGAGGGGGCGCGCGAGCGAGAGTGGGAGCGCGAAGAGCGGGAGCGGCGATGGCGATTGTTTCTGAGGACAGCCATGTGTGTAGAGGATTAACGAAATGTAAAGTATTTGTAACAATAAAAGAGTGAGGTAAAACACCAAAGTAAAAGCACCCAGTGTCGTCAATTACCTCGTGTAACACGTGAGCGTGGCGTAACAAAGTGGTGACCCCGATTTGCGCAATTAAAAAAAAACGAAGGATAACCGCCAACCACGTGGCAAACGAAACCGAGGATGAATACGGAAGGAAACGAGCCGATCGCCGAAAAGCTAGAAGCGAACAAGGTGAGCATAAAAATTCCACCATTCTGGGTAGATAAACCAGAAATATGGTTTTATCAAGTTGAAGCACAATTCCGTATCAGTAATATAACAAGCGAGGACACAAATTCAATTACCTCGTGGCGCAACTAGAACCTAAATTCGTAGAAACATATGGGGACATAATTAAAAGCAGAAACGACGAAAAATACACACTGGCAAAGCAGAGACTCGTAGACACGTATAAGGAAAGCGAAAATAAGCGAATCAAACGATTAATTACTGGTATGGAGTTGGGCGACATGAAACCTAGTCAGTTGCTTCGCAGGATGAGATCACTGGGGGACGCTGAGGACGTTTCAGACAGGGTTTTGAGAACAGTATGGCTAGAAAAAAATGCCAGAAGTGGTAAGAAGCGTAGCTAATAGTCAGCGAGGAACCGTTAGAGAGGACTGGCGGAAAATGGCGGATAAAATGGCGGAAACAGTAGCGCACGTGGAAATGGCCTCTATCGGTAGCGACAACACTCCTATTAACGAGTTACTACAAAAAATATCGGCTTTGGAACAGCAAATCGCAGCGTTAAGTTGTCGGCAACGGCCACGATCAAGAAGCCGAAATACTAATCGGGATCGTGACGCCAGCCGAAGCAGATCCAGAAGAGGTTCAACCCCGAGGGAAAATACTGTTACTATCATTTCAGATTTGGAAACAGATGCCAGCCAGAGAAATGCAAACAACCTTGCAGCTGGAAGATTTCGGGAAACTCGAGCCAGCAGTAGACGAGGCGGCAAAGCCTACTGCAATCGGCAAGATAGAGCGCCGCAAGTACCGGCTATTTGTGAAGGATAGGAAGGCAGGGTTACGATTCTTGGTAGATACGGGAGCGGATGTATCAATTGTCCCCCGCAGTAGCAAAGGCAAAAGGGCCCTGTGAGTATAAGCTATACGCAGCAAACGGAACCGAAATACCAACATTTGGCATAAAATTGCTGACACTGGATTTGGGTTTGAGACGCCCATTCCAGTGGCCATTTATAATGGCAAAAGTCAGCAAAGGAATACTCGGAGCTGACTTCCTGAATCAATTTCAATTAGTAGTCGACATCCACAAAAAACAATTAATTGATGGCATCACGCAACTGGCCTCAAAAGGCGAAATAGTATCGGTAACTAACGATCATAAAATTAACACGGTAAATGAGCTATCAAAATTTTCAGAACTGCTCCGCTTATACCCAGGCATCGCTAAACCGGAGATAGCACCGAAAGCAGCTAAACACCAAGTCCAACACTACATAGTCACAACGGGACAGCCGGTATACTCGAGGGCACGGCCATTAGATCCGAAGAGACTAGGAATAGCAAAGCAAGAATTCAAATATTTGCTAGACAATGGCATCATAAGGCCATCGAAATCACAATGGGCCAGCCCGCTGCATCTGGTCAACAAAAAGGACGGCACGGTAAGACCGTGTGGCGACTATAGACTACTCAACGCACGAACAGTTCCGGACCGCTATCCAGTCCCGAGAATCGAAGACTTTCAGTCTATTTTACAAAATAAAATCATATTTTCAAAAATTGACCTAATCAAAGCGTACTATCAAATACCGATCGCGGAAGAGGACAAACATAAGACAGCAATCATCACACCATTCGGACTATACGAATTTAACGTCATGAGTTTCGGACTTCGTAACGCTCCGTCCACATTCCAAAGATTTATTAACGAAGTGTTTCAGGGTATCAATTTTGCATTTCCCTATATAGATGATATACTAGTAGCCTCAACGTCACAAGAGGAGCACAAAGAGCATCTAAAACTAATTTTCGGCCGACTAGAAAGATATGGCCTACGAATCAATACATCCAAGTCGGTATTGGGAGTAGACCAGATAGAATTTTTGGGACATCTCATTACGGCGAACGGATCTCGCCCACTGCCACAAAAAGTCCAGGCAATACTAAATTATAAAATACCTGAAACTATTAGTGACTTACGGATGTTCTTAGGTATGGTCAATTTTTATCGGAGATACCTAAAGGATGCCGCACTGACGCAAGCACCGCTCCACGAATTGTTGCAGGGCGCAAAAAAGCGAGATCGGAGAAAGGTGCCTTGGACAGGAAGAAACGATAAAACAATTCGAAAAATGTAAAACAGAGCTAGCCAATGCTGCCCTCTTAAGTTACCCCAAGGGTGAATGTCCACTATCGTTATACACAGACGCCTCAGACTGGGCAATAGGGGCAGTATTACAGCAGTATGACCAGGAAAGTTGGAAGCCACTGGCGTTCTACTCGAAAAAATTAAACGAGACGCAAAGAGCATACAGCACCTACGACCGCGAGTTGCTGAGCATGTATCTGTCGGTAAAACAATTTAAATACTTACTAGAGGGAAGAGAATTCACGATATTTACCGACCACAAACCGTTGACATTTGCATTTAGGCAAAAGAACGAAAAAGCCTCTCCGAGACAACAACGACAACTCCAGTTTATCTCTCAATTCACAACAGAGGTGCAGCACGTAAGCGGCAAAGAAAACATTGTGGCAGACACGCTATCAAGAATCGAAGAAATTTCGGCAGTCGACTACGATCGAATAGCAGAAGAGCAAGAGACGGGCGAAGAGTTGAACGACGTAATAAAAAACTTTCCTTCCTTGAGCATGAAGCAACATGTACTTCCGTCTGGGAAGGCTCTGTGGTGCGATACATCGCAGAATAACATCAGACCATACATTCCAAAAAAATTTCGAAAAACGGTGTTCAAGCAGATCCACGATTTAGCGCACCCGGGTATAAAAGCAACCGTCAAGCAAATAACAGGAAAATTCATATGGCCAGAAATAAAAAAACAAGTTCGAGATTGGGCGAAAGCATGTATAAGGTGCCAAAAGGTTAAAGTGAATAGACACACAAAATCAAGGTTTGCAGAATTTCAAGAAACCAGACGCGCGTTTCAGAATGGTACACATAGATATCATTGGACCGTTACCGCCTTCGAACGGTAAAATATATTGTCTCACGTGCATAGATCGATTCACAGGGTGGACGGAAGTAATACCGTTGAAAGATATCACAGCGGAAACTGTAAGTAGGAAATTTTACAAACATTGGGTAAGTAGATTCGGTGTACCAGATAAAATAGTAACAGACCAGGGTAGGCAGTTCGTGTCTCGCCTATTTAGAAATCTAGCAGCCATCTGCGGAGCTAAAGTCCGGCACACGACACCGTACCACCCACAAGCTAACGGGAAAATCGAACGTTTCCACAGAACCCTAAAAACGGCTTTAAAAAGCACACGATAGTATTAAATGGACAGAAACATTACCCACAGTGCTGCTAGGACTAAGGGCAGCGGTAGGAGACAATACAAATTACTCAGCAGCACAAATGACCTACGGGGACGAACATTCGGCTTCCTGGGGAATTTTTCGAACCTCCGAGCATCGAAGTAGAGCCTGAATCATTCGCCAACAAGCTACAGCAACACATGGAACGGCTGAAACCCGTCAGCACGCAACGAGCTTCAAATCAGAAGGTATTCGTTCATACAGACCTTAATTTTTGCTCTCACGTTTTTCGTAAGGATAGACAGAGTCAAAAAGGCGCTCGAACCAGCCTATGATGGACCATTCCTGGTGGCACAAAGACGCGAGAAATACTTCTTGGTGTTAGTAAAAGGAAAGGAAATAGCGATATCAATAGACAGACTGAAACCAGCTTACATCCTAACACCAGAGTGTCCCCCCCTGTGGCACCAGGGGAACAGCCAACCAGCCCAAGCAGCGGAGAGGAACAGCCACAAAACAGGCGCGAAAAAAGAAAAGTCAAGCCACCAATAAGGTTCCAAGCCGGAAGCTAAAAATATGCGTACCGATCAAACTTGGTATTCGTTTCCGTTACTAAATGAAAATGCTTCTAGGGTAAAATTACCTCCATGGTTTTTGAGTGTATGATGTGGTACACAGGCACATTGTTAATCTCGAGCGTTGAAAGTTACTTTTCAAGGGTCATAATTGTGTCCCATGTAGTAAATGATTTTGTTCTTTTGTAATTATCTCTAGGTTAGTAAGAATAGGTTAAGACCCCGAAGTGGTAATTTTTTTGGTTATGTACTAATACACTAGGATCTAAAATGTTGCCGCGAATAAGCTCCTAACAGGAGTCTAGCATCGTAACTTCGTTACTGGAGGGGGAGTGATGTAGCGGCTGAGATGACAGATAGTCGGTAAGGAAGGAACCGGGGTATGAATGAGAGGGCGCGCGAGCGAGAGTGGGAGCGCGAAGAGCGGGAGCGGCGATGGGCGATTGTTTCTGAGGACAGCCATGTGTGTAGAGGATTAACGAAATGTAAAGTATTTGTAACAATAAAAGAGTGAGGTAAAACACCAAAGTAAAAGCACCCAGTGTCGTCAATTACCTCGTGTAACACGTGAGCGTGGCGTAACAGATCCTTACTTCCACACGTCTCACATAATTGGTCCTGTATATTACATACTTTCGCAATATGGCCATACGCGTGGCATTTAAAACATCGAGTTATGTTAATATACTCTTTAATATTATAGGTTCTCCATATCATGAAAACTCTATTTTTATTCATTATATTTCTATAGAATTTTCCAGGTAATTGAACCACCCAGTTGACCCTGTTTTCCTTGGCCTTAAACTGATACCGAAAAGAAACTTTTTCTTGTAATTCTTCCAGGTCTTTTTCACTACAATCAAAATTCTTAGTTATAAACTCTTCCTTTAACTCATCAACCTTATTTTCCCTTTCAACATCATAAATAATAATCGAGGGCAAGATCTTTTTAGGTTTTTCCAGCTTCAATCCGATTTCTTCCAATTTAGTGCTTTTTATTAACTCCACATCCTTTTTATCCTTGATCTCCATTACTAAACCCTTCCTTCGCATTTGGCGCACTGACTTAACTTTCAACTGCTTACGGACATCTTTCAATTTATTCGTCAACTGCGTTTTCAATTCTTCATTACTCCTACTATCCTCTTCTTTTTCAGGTTTAATAATCACAACTTCATAAGTTTCTTTATTAATAATCTTTTTTTCTTTTTCAGGTACCAGACCCTGCAGTTGCGATCGGGGACTGCTCGCCATCTGCGCATACGACGGTACTTTAGGAGCATGCTGTTGGGTAAGTTTAAGCTTCTCATTTTCTAAAATTTGCTCCTGCAATTTTCCCTCTAAATTTGCCCACTTCTCAAGAATAAATTTAATTGCATATTTATTAACTTTGTTTGCATCGTTAAATAAGTAGGCTTCCAAGCTTACCCTCTCTTTACGAACTTCTTCCAACGTACAGTTCTCCAACTGTCGCTGTTGAACTACATCCTTTCTTAGGCTCTTGGGGCTTCTTTCTAAGCTAACTTGTAGCTCCTTCATTGCCAACTTCCTCCTCTTTGTTGGAGTCCTCGGGCAGAATGCTTTCGCCTCGTCAGTTACTGACGAGATCGAGCTTGATCGGCTATGACCACGACTAGAAGGTGCCGTCTCCATTTCTTCTACCTCCTCTTCTACTCCTCTCTGCGCTTTTTTTGTTTTATTAATTGAGACATCCATATTTGTTCCCACGAGAAGGTCGGAAAAGATGTTACCCCAGGCAGAGCCGCCGTACCTGGGGAAGCCTAGTACTACCGAGGGGTCGGCAGGTACCTCGGAGTTGGTCGCTAGGGATTGGGCTCACTCCCCCAACCATGCATCCCATCGCCGCGCACCATAGCTTAGGATTCGAGGGTAAGTTATAGAGTTACCATCCTCGCGGCCCAGGCGGTTAAGCCAAGGCCCCCGGCCCGACCTGCCGTCGCGTACCATTCACAAAACCAAAAGAGGAATTGTGAATGGGTCGTTGCGACGACCAACAGGGGGTTACGGAATGATTGCATCAGGCACCTCGGGTTCGCTACCCGTACTGTAGCTGAATGGCTACAGCCCCTGAGGTTTGGCTACTTTCGTCTGTCCCTTCACCCTGAACCTTCCCGGCATGGTAGAACCTGCCAGGGGTCAAAGACCCCCGCCGGTATAGCTCCAGAGATCACAAGGGAACTCAAGCTCCCCCACCACGACAAGGTAGCTAAAGATAGGGACATCATTTATTCCTAAACCTGATTACGGCAATCGAGCTTTCGCTCATAGCCTCATTTTTCTTAATCTTTATTATTCTTTTCTTCTATTCTTCATCTTTTCTAATCTTACCACTGTTCTTTCCTTGCTGAATATCTCCTTTAATCTCGTTCTTCCTATACTCCGTCTTCCTTCCTTCTCCTCATTCTTCCTTTATTTTTCGTTTCCTTCTTATGTTACTCTTCTTTTCAGCTTTTTCTTATTTTAGGTAAGACCAGGTAAGTATTTAATGTTACTCTTCTTTTCAGCTTCTGTATTTAACAAAACAGGTAGAATCAGGTCGGTGCTTTAGGAATAATTTATCTATTTCTCTTGATTTGTACACTTATTCTCTCTTGTCTGTTTCAGGTCACTTTGCCGTCAGTCCTGACTCCTGACGTTGCCCGTCCCTAACCACGTGGAGGTGGACCTGTAACACTCTACTTTCCTTCAACTTTAATTTGGTATGTTGTATCTTTTTTCAAACATTGCCTTCGCATAAATTGTAAGCTTTCTAAATGTTTCTTCTGAATTTATCAACAATGCCTTATTTTGTCTACCATCTGCCAACCCTGTATATCTCATTTCCTCATACTCCGGGCACGAGAATAGCATATGATCCAAAGTTTCCTCCTCATGCAAACACGCCGGACACATCGTCGTATTTGATGCTCCTCTTTTAAACAACGAACTGTTTATTGGCCCATATCCAGTTATTACGTACGCACAATACCTTCCGGGACAAAACCATGGATTCTCTTCCGCAAACTTAACATCTTTAATGAACTCATATGTCATTCTTCCCCGGGTTTCTGCATCCCATCTGCTTTGCCATTCCTTTGTAACTTCTTCAGAAATTTTCCTAGTCTCTTCCTCAATGTTAATGTCCTGCACACTTTGCCTTTCCTGAAAGATATAATCCTTCCATACTGTCCTCTGATTTCGACGAATTTTATTTATTACTCCTTGCTTTATTATACTTAGATCCAGTGGCATCATGCCTGAAATTAC